TTTATGGTTTATGGTTTATGGTTTATGGTTTATGGTTTATGGTTTATGGTTTATGGTTTATTTTATGGTTTATGGTTTATGGTTTATGGTTTATGGTTTATGGTTTATGGTTTATGGTTTATAGGGTTTAGTGTTCAGGGTTTAGGATTTAGGGTTTAGGGCTTAGGGTTCAAGGTTTACGGTTTGGGGTTCAGAGTTCAGGGTTTAGGGTTCAGGGTTTAGAGTTTAGGGTTTAGGGTTTTGGTTTCAGGGTTTAGGGTTTAGGGTTTAGGGTTTAGGGTTCAGGGTTTAGGGCTCATGGTTTGGTGTTTAGGGTTTTAGGGTTTAGGGTTTAGGGTTCAGGGTTTAGGGTTTAGGGTTTAGGGTTTAGTGTTTAGGGTTTAGCGAAAGAAACAAAGAAGAAGTAATGAATAAGGGAAATCGCATTTTATCGGAACTAGCCGCAGAAAGCTCCGAGCCATCCCTTTGGTCCACCGCATAAGAAAGCCACCCCTCCCCTAGGACCACCATAGGGCCCTAGGCATAGCCCTACTGTAGGGTCCTAGGGGGTGGCGCTTTCTTATGAGCAAGGTACCGCTGTAATACCGGTACGCTCCTGCCATAGCCTTTCATAGGTAGGTTTAAGGGGAATTTAAAATTCCCCCTGGTAGGAGCCCACGACCTGCTGGTGGTCAGATATGACCTTTAGCCGGTTTCTGCTGGGATCCTCTGCACCGGGGGGCCTGAATGTGATCCGAAAGGAAGCATGGCTTTTCTGCAGAACAAGTTCCAGTGACCGCCTATGTTGGGAGCTCGAAGAACCTAAAGGACCTAAAGGACCCGCTTGTCACTCAATTACAGTGTATCAAGGCGGGCTCTTTCCTTCAGGCTCATAGACTTTGGTGGTGCTTTGGTGCTTTGTATTACACTCACATCGAAGGTCACGCCTACCTCACTCTTGAGGGGATGGGAACAATCCACGGATGAGCTCCCCGACCCAACCCACTTAGGCCCGATCGAGCCCCCTTTCCCCCGCACCAAAACAACCTGTAGAGCGAGTCGTCGATTGTCTTGTTCTTGTGTTGTATCCTTGTAGAGTTCTGTCTACCACGAGAGGCAGATGAGAGGCTGGCGTGGGGGGTGCAAGTACAGAGCACCAAAGACCGCAGCCCTAAAGTCCCTGTACGAAGCTTATAGGATCCTACGCTCGTAGGTCCCAGTCGGAGGCCCGTCGTTGAGCAGGTTTGTCGCAGGGTAAGAGTTGTGGGTCAGACATGGACCAGGGTTAGGGTGGTGGGGTGGTCCAGGTTGGGGGAGAAGCGAGGTTTAATAAGTTGACAAACACGACCGCTGCACGCCACGTGGAGAGGTAGGACGAGACGTAGGGGCTCTAGCCCAAGTACACCCTGAGGGGTGTCTGTAGAATGAAACCGTCATGTCCGCTAGGACAAGCTACCGGTACCTACACTACAGCATACAGCAAAGGCCTGGACGACGACGGGCGGAGCAAGTGCCTGCAGGGTGGCGACGCGCTCCTCCTCGAGGTCGGCGGCGTCGCGCAGGTTGGGCCTTGAGGGTTGCAAGTGCAGAGCACCAAAGACCACAGCCCTCAAGTCCCTGTACGAGCTCGTACGCGTACGAAGCTTCATAGGATCCCACGCTCGTAGGTCCCAGTCGGAGGCCTGTCGTTGAGCATGTTTGTCGCAGGGTAGATCTACGAGTTGTGGGTCAGACATGGGCCAGCTGGCCAGGGTTACGAGCTCGTAGGGTGGTGGGTGGTCATGGTCCAGGTTGGGATTGGACAGGGTCTTGAGGTTTGCAATTCTTTTAGTGCTTTGAGCCATTGTTTTCCTGGTCAAAGATTTTTTCCGCACGTGAAATTCATAAAACCTAAAGGATCTAAAGGACCCGCGCCACCTGAAATGGCCGCAAATGCCATTGAAAGTGCCGGAAGTCACAACTCGGAAGAAGCTTGTTTTTGAATTTTGGTAATGGAAACCCCCGTAGGGGTCCGGCAAAAATTACGATTGCACGAAGGCGAATCGTGGGGATTGGAGTAGTTTTCAACTAGCAATCACCAGGCATCGAATGGATCTCATGTGCACTGGTAACGCCCCGAGCGCAAGGATACTGATTACTAAGTCAAAGCTGATCAGGAGGGGCATTTTTCCCGCCAGAGGGTTTGGAGAGCGATTTCAGGACTGTTGGACCAGCTCTTGGAGCTCTTTGATGGGCCCACTCGCAAATGGCTCAAACTCCAGTCAAAAAGCTGCGGGCAAGTGGGCTCGCTACCTGTCTACAGACGTCTACGGGCTCGTTGCCCGCTGTGCGGCTGCGAACAAGCAAAAAAGAGCAGACAAAGAACGAGCAACCTAGGTCCTAGGATCCTAGGCAACGTGACCAGATTTGAGACCCCCCGCGGATATGACAAACGAAGAAAAAGAGAAATGCGCTTCACGGTTATGAGCCACAAGTGAAGAAAAAGAGAAATTTGGTGCCATAATAAAGACGTTCCGTGGGGTGCCATGAGTGGGGTTTGAACCCACGCGTACAGCGTACAATTGATCTTAAGTCAATCCCCTTAGACCACTCGGGCATCATGGCTTTCCGATTGACGTCCGAAAACAGCAAAAGGAGCGACACCGCAAAAATAAAACTGCCGAAAATCGGTATATGACCCATGTGCGTTTTAAAAGTCGAAATGGGGTTTTACTACGTTATAGCGCCGCTCCTGGTACAGATTTTGTACGGGATCTTAAAACTCTACTATCTAAATTGGCTGTAGTTACAATGAATTTTAGGGCCATGAAACTGCGCAGCCTGTGTTTCGATTCCTGGAGGCCCTGAAAGGGCTATGCAAGGCTCCAATTACCACAACTTTTAACGATTTTATTTGGTTAATTGACTTTCATATCGTTTACAAACCATTTTAGGCCGCAATCGAAAAGTATTCTCGAAAGAAAAAACAGTTGAGATTTTCTCGAACGGCACCACCTGTTAGGGCGATCTGTCAGCTCGCGTCTGGGAACTCTGTTGGCCCTGTGCGGCACCTGCTTGGTCGAGGAGCTTGAAGGCCACGCCTTCGTGCGGATCCGTCAAAAAGGTGCGTAGTTTTTCGTCGAGCCCACGCCACGGGACCCGGGACCCTGATGTGTATGTTTGTGTGCTTGCGAAGTGGCCTCCTCCCTCTGTGTTCGCAGACCTGCTTCTCTCCATCCCGGAGTCGCCCCTCCGCTTAGACCCCGCCTTCTCTCCCCCCCGATGTGCTCCTCTTCCTCGCACAGGAGCCTCTGTCCGCGCCTCGTGGGACCCAATTGCTGTCTTTGGACTACTGACGTGCGACGACGTCCTTCCCTCCCTACGATTGCGATCCGCTGCACCCTCCTTCCCTTCCCCGCGCCCCTAAAGATTCGCAACCTCCCTCGACGTCGCCCTGCGCATGCCGATCGGCGGGAGCGGTGCTGCGCGGGCCCATGGGTCGCAGAGTCGCGAGCAGTTTCAGCTCGCGAGGGAGGAGGCGCCTCCTGATAGCTGGCCGGATGAGCAGGATGCCGGCGCGGAAAGAAAGGCGGCCGGATGGAGGAGCATCCAACTTCCGATCGGTCTCTCCCGACGCGGTGTCCGTGATTCGATGTTTCCACTGCTGGACCCCCTATGGCCCCTCCCCGGGCCAGAGGGAATTCCGTGCTCATGGAATCCTAGCTCTGCCTCACTCGGGTTGACCGACCATTCTCAAGTTGATATCTTGGGTTGTTGAGTGCAAGCCCGTCAATCTTGGAGCGAAAAAGCGGGCGGTCTCACCAAGTTGGTGGGACCAAATCATACTGAGAGAGAGGAGTCAGGGACCAAATCATCCTGAGACACGGCTAGTCTGTAAGGGGCGTCGATGATACGAAAGTACTGGATCTGTGCGGAGACGGCGGCTGTTGCGGGCAAGGACAAGTCGATCATCGGCAAGTTAAACCCTACCACTAGCCCTTGGAGGTGGCTCAAATAGTGCTCTGGGGCATTTTCGATTTACCTTGGATCGGGGTCAAAAGCGACCCCGATCCGAGGTTAAATCGAAGAACTTCCAGGGCACTATTTGAGCCACTTGGGATGGCTGGTGGCAAGGCATCGGGAGGCGCTCGGAGCTGTGCCCTTTCTTGTCAACCCTCTTCTTCTTTATTACTCTCGATACAGGTCCCAGATAAGCGCTTAAGCCTTGCGTTGCGTGATACAAAAGTCTCGTTTCAACCCCAAAACCAAAAGCCGTGACGCAGGTGCATGGATAGGCCCTTAAGCCTTGAGTTGAGGGATACAAAAGTGTCGTGTCAACCTTGCCACCAACCACCAGAAGAGAACCAAATCGAAGAATGGCAAACGTTGATTTCCCCTGCAAACTAAACTCTCAGGGTGTAGTCTGCAGGGGAAATCAACGTTTGCTTTGGTTCACGTCTGGTGGCTGGTGGTGAACCCGTAACCCTGACGCAGGTGCACGGAATCGAGATCAATCCTTTCGACAGCCCACGGTCGCCACGGTGCGCCACTTTCCCCTCCTCAACCCTAAACCCTAAACCCTAAACCCCAAACCCTAAACCTTAAACCTTAAACCCTAAGCCCAAAACCCTAAACCCTAAACCCTAAACCCTAAACCCTGAACTCCATCCTTTCGACTGCCCACGGTGCGGCACTTTTCCCTTTAGGAGCTGGAAAAGGACGTACACCAGGGTTCAGGGATTAGTACCAAGGTCTCGCGCAGGACAAGGTCTCTCTAACAATTCATCAAGGATTATCCTGAACCGCCCCTCTCGCAAGCGAGTCGCGGCGGAAACCGGGATTCCTCCGAGGATCAGGCCCGTAGGAACGACCCTATCTTCCTACGGGTGGCCTACTGTAGGGTCCTAAGGATGATTCACTTAGGGGGTATTCACGGCGTTTATTACTATACGGCGTTTATTACCAATAAATTCCTCCTTCAGGCGAGTCGCGGCGGAAAGCGGGACGCCTCCTAGGAGCAGGCCCGGGGTAGTCTTCCGCTGTGTTGGACCGCGGGAACCCCGTAGGTCTCCCCAGTGCAAACGCCCCGTCATGTACGGGATTTCGGCACGATTCTGAGATGCTGCCCCCCCGTTCTCGCAGGCGAGTCGCGGCGGAAGGCGGCACTCGGTACCGCCCAGGAGCCTGCCGAGCGCCGGGATGCCCGGGTTGTCTCTCTCTCTCTACCTTATTTGTATTAATCAAGGTCTCTCTACCAACGTACTAATCAAGGTCTCTCAACCGTGTTGGTATTGATTAACAGACGCCTCTCGCAGGCGAGTCGCGGCGGAAACCGGGATGCCTCCTAGGAGCAGGCCCGGCCCCGGGGTCCCTGGGTTCAAGCGACAAGACTCCTTCACTTCTGAGGTCGAACCCTAAACCCTGAACCGTGGTTGAAGCGAGAAAAACTCCTACGCGTAGCAGGTCGCGCCCTCAACCCTCAACCCTCAACCCTAAGCCGGGATTGAAGCAACAAGACTCCTTGGAGTCTGAGGTCGCGCCTCGACCCCTCTTGTCTCCACCGCAAGTCAATCTGGGCGCTTATTAGATGCGTTTAGACCAGGACTCCGTACAAACCACTCGAGAATGCTAGAGGGGCCTATTTACATGTGGGGTTGTAAAACTTTGTACCAGGATAAGTTGTTCCAACCTCGCAACCGGCCTAACCAGGGCTTCAGTGGCTCCAAGGGCAATGAAAGTTACCACACAAATTCTACATGTATAATTATCTTGGGTTTAAATAGGCCCCTCTAGCATTCCCGTGTGGAACGCTCCAGTTCAAAGAGAATCTCACAGTATTTAATGAGGAGCCCAGATCAACTCAGGCAGAGAAAGTCTAGCCCTGCCTGGTTAATCCGGGGTCCTCATTAAATGCTAGGTCGCGCCCGGACCCCTCCGCTTGTCTTTTGAGCCTCTGGAATCCCAGGGTCTCATTGGGGTAAGGACAATCTCCCCCCATCAGGCAAGGGATTTCGTGAATAGCCCCTAAGTGTCAGAATGTTTTTTATTTCGTGAATAACCCCTAAGTGTCAGAAAACCACGAGCGCGCCCCGTTTTTTGACAATTAGGGGTTATTCACGAAATCCTTTTTTTCTGGCACGTAGGGGCTATTCACGAAATCGCTTCGTTCGTAGTCCGCAGTGTGGTTTCTGACGGGAGGCGGGCCGTCTCCCTCCTAAACCCTAAACCCTGAACCCTAAACCCTAAACCCTGAACCCTTAACCCTTAACCCTGAACCCTATACCCTGAACCCTGTACCCCAAACCTTAAACCCTCAACCCTCAACCCTCAACCCTCAACCCTAAACCCTAAACCCTGAACCCTCAACCCTCAACCCTGAACCCCAAACCCTGAACCCTACACCCCAAACGCTATACCCCACACCAGGCGTCGCTGGTTGCCAAGCCAACCCGGCCGGCGCTCCAGATCCGGGACCCTGCAGGTGACGCCACCTAGCTGTGTCTCAAGAGTTTTGTTGGTCTCACCAATTCGGTGCGACCAGGTCCTCTTTTACGCCAAAGTTGACGGATTTGTACCGCACAACCAGAACGTTGACTTAAGGATAGTCTGCGAAGGCATCCCGGCCGCCGCTGCAGATCCGCGACCCTCCACCAGCCCTGCGAGGCGGACCAAATCGACGATTGTTTGGAGCCATTTCCTCGGGTGGCACATTCGTTTTCGAAGGTGCCGCCCGCGGAATTGGCGCATGCTCCAGCCTCGATTTGGTCCGCCTCGGAGGGCTGATGGCTGCTGGTGACGCCCCTCACCCCGAGAGAGGGAAGACGCCAGTGAACCTCTTCCTGAAACCCTCA